ATGAAGGAGAATCACACCAAGCTTAGCTCTAACTTTACGGGTTGATATATCTTCCCTTAGTGTTTGATTTTGCCCACTTATATTGCCATTTCCTTGACAAAATACTTATCCTACCAGCATCTCGTAGAGGCAAACACATTAGAATGACATCAATTACATCGTCAGGAAGGTTGCTAATTATATCACAAGTTTTTCTGCATAGCGCTTCCGTCATATTTGGAACCGATAGAAGAATCTAGATCAATTTATACTATCAAATTTTTCTCTAAAAATCTCAACTCACAATATGATAAAAGAGCCATGCAGAAGAACTTGTGATATAATCAACAATCTTCCTGACGATGTAATTGATGTCATTCTAATGTGTTTGCCTCTACGAGATGCTGGTAGGATAAGTATTTTGTCAAGGAAATGGCAATATAAGTGGGCAAAATCAAACACTAAGGGAAGATATATCAACCCGTAAAGTTAGAGCTAAGCTTGGTGTGATTCTCCTTCATCTGTTTTCACTTCGTCAAGGACCAATTAATGAGCATTGAATTTCTAATATTCTGAATCCAAAATATTTCTCTTAGATTCACAACTTGATATTATTCCTGTCACGAAATGGGATCGAGCAACTCGTGCTTGAACTTCCAAAGGGCGAAAAGTTCATATTGCGTTCTTCAGTTTTCACATGTTCGAAGATGAGGCATTTAACTCTTTACTATTGTGTTGTCAATCCTCCACCTACCTTTCAAGCATTTAGTAAGCTTCTTCGCTTGCAATTGTTTAATGTTGCTATTTCTGACAAATGTCTTGAGATTTTAATCTATCGTTGCCAAATGCTCGAGGACATGGACCTGGATATCACGACCCTTTGAACTTCCCAAACCAAGCGTGTAAAAACTGTTTCAGACCATAGAGTGACTTATGTAATCGACATACAAGGCTACTAAACTCCCCCTGAACAACAAAATTAGGTGGTTGCTCCATATAATTAATACGAGGACAGATGAAGAGGTTGGTGAGATATTTGAAAGTTGATCACTCGACTTCACGAAATTGACAATCAATCTCAATGTGCTTAGTCTTCTCATGAAATACTAGATTTGATGCATAATGTCAATCAATCTCAATGTGCTTCTCATGAAATACTCAATTTGATGCATAATGGCAATAATAAAATTACAGTGTTGAACTTCCCAAACCAAGCGTGCAGTGACTTACGTAATCGACATACAAGGATACTAAACCACCTAATTTTGTTGCTCGGGAGTGTTTAGTAGTCTTGTATGTCGATTACGTAAGTCACGCTATGGTCTGAAACAGTCTTTGCACACTTGGTTTGGTAAGTTCAAAAGGTCTGCGATATCCAGGTCCATGTCCTTAAGCATTGGGCAACGACAGATGAAATTCTCAAGATATTTGTCAGAAATAAA